AAAACAAATAAATCAAAAAACACCTGATTCAGTCTTTAACACCGTTTTCATAAATCCAGACATATATATACCTATTTAAGAATCGGAATTTTATGTAGGACTTTTCCTTTTATTTTTAATCAGATTACATATTTACTTGATTAAACACCAAAGTCAATTTTGCTCTTTCTCTAACGTCTTAAAAAAACAAACAAACAAACAAACAAACAAACAAACAAACAAACAAGAAATAAACTAAGTTTGGAAAATTCTGTCCCAGGCTGTGATTACAAATATTTTCCCTCGGAATTACAAGCTAACTTTTACTCCCACCGCGGTACAAGGGGGGAACTGATGGAATCCATTCCCTAAGTTTTCATTTTGTTAACGCAAAGTGAAATAAATTTAATGATAAGCCATGAGCTTACTGTAGAAGATAATACCATCTTTGTTAGGTATGACATCATGTGACGTAAAATGAAGGCATTTGATCGGCCATTTTGGATCCGTTATTTTGGATTTCACTATTTTCTCACAAAGTCAAGAAATAACGGTACAAAAGCAAGACACACTACAAAAACAAGACGTATTACGAAAGCAAGACATACTAGAAAAGCAAGCCAGACTGCTCAGGAAATGTACAAATTGGTAAGTTTCTGCAATTTGATGAAGAAAACTGGAACAATACAGAATAATTTCTAAAAAATTGCTTTTTAGCCAGACCTAAATGAAATTCACCAGTGCCAAGGGAACGTCAAAAATGATGGGCACACATTTAACATATCAAAATTTCCGCGGAGAATGAATGAGCAGCTACTGAAAGTTTCAGCTCCTTAGAGTGAATCGTCTTTAAAAACACGTTATACGCCCGAGGGTTATTGCATATGATGCAAAACATGTCTGAAAGGCAGAACAGTATGTTGTACAATGTATGAGCTACAAGTAGAATATAACCCCAGAATGGAGNTACATACATACATACATACATACATACATACATTTTACATACATGCATACATTTTTTTTACAGACATACATAAATTTTGTCTGCAATGTTTCCAAAGCATTATATATTTTTTTAAGATTCGGAATTTTATGTAGGACTCTTCCTTTTATTTTTAATCGGATTACATATTTACTTATCAGGGTTAAACACTAAAGTCAATTTTGCTCTTTCTCTAACGTCTTAAAACAAATCAAGAAATAAACTAAGTTTGGAAAATTCTGTCCCTGGCTGTGATTACAAATATTTTCCCTCGGAATTAGAAGTTAACTTTTATCCCCACCGCGGTACAAGGGGGGAATTGATGGAATCCACCACTGGGTTTTCATTTTGTTAACGTAAAGTGAAATAAATTTAATGATCAGCCCTGAGCTTACTGTAGAAGATAATACCATCTTTGTTAGGTATGACGTCATGTGACCTCACACGAAGGCATTTGATCGGCCATCTTGGATCCGATATTTTGGATTTCACTATTTTCTCACAAAGTCAAGAAATAACGGTACAAAAGCAAGACATACTACCACAACAAGACGTACTACGAAAGCAAGACATACTACAAAAGCAAGCCAGACTGCTCAGGAAATGTACACATTCGTAAGTTTCTGCAATTTGATGAAGAAAACTGGAACAATACAGAATAATGTCTAAAAAAATTGCTTTTTAGCCAGACCTAAATGAAATTCGCAAGTGCCAAGGGAACGTCAAAAATGATGGGCACACGTACATTTAACATATCAAAATTTCCGCGAAAGATGAATGAGCAGCTACTGAGAGTTTCAGCTCCTTAGACTAAATCGTCTTTGAAAACACGTTATACGTCCGAGGGTTATTGCATATGATGCAAAACATGTCTGAAAGGCAGAACAGCATGTTGTACAATGTATGAGCTACAAGTAGAATATAACCCCAGAATGGAGCTGTCATTAGGATGTAATTGTCAATCGCTTCATGTGACTACCATGTTGTTGTTGTACTGAGTATTAATCACACGAGGCAAAAGAAGAATTGTAATAAAACTGTCAACCGATTGCATTAAATACAACTGGAATACCGCTTTTGTTACTTAGGCCAAATCAACGCCAACGGCAAAAACACAAACTTAAAGTCACCCTTGTAAACGAAAATGTGCAACCAAAACGGGAAAACGCCACCCCATTACTAAATGCGAATGCACACGCCAACGCAAACGAACGCAGACGCAAACGCAATCATAAAATCATAGAAAACAAAAAAGAAACGCGGTTTAAAACAGCTGCCCCACACCCTCGCGTTTTGGCTAGTTCATATCTCAAGCACCGGGTTAATAATTTGCTAAGCCTTTAATCTCGACCAACTCAAGACAAAGTGAAGATTCTGTAAACAGACTAAATGCGGCTTAGTTTCCTAAAACTAGGATGTCATTTTTTCTGTTGCCACAGTCGCTGAAGAATATCAAACTACGAACTATTAGATACTAGACTGCACTTACTCTTAGCACTGATTACCAGCCCAACTGAGAAGAAGACAGTATTGTTGTTTACTAAGCAGGAATTGCGTTAATTACAGCTAGAACATTTGCTCAGCGAGAAGCGCTACGCACTATTGATGCTCGCAAATCACGACCTAAGATTAACGTTAGCGATGTCTATTCAAGACATCATTAACAAATAAAGAAGCCTAAGCCGTGTATTACACTGTGTTATAATAAAGTTTCCATATAACGCGCGCTCTGATTGGCTGAAA